TAAATTGTCAGGCCTTAGAAATAAATATGTTGATACAAGAAAATCTTGATCATACCAAATTTGATCTAGAACAAAATCTTTGGTGGACCAGGTCCTCTTAAATTTAAACTAAGATTCAAGAAAGGCAAATCACCAGTCGAAGTGGGATAGATTTTAGAAAATAGAATAATCTTGCAGCACAAATTATTCACATGTCTAAAAGTTTATGCACTCATTGTGGAAACTCAGGTCATATAAAGAATCAATGTAAAGCTCTATTTGACGCTTTTCAAAAAAATGATAAGTTCACCAAAAAGAAAAAGGTTGATACGAACATCATGATGTTAAGTTCACCAAAGATAAAAATAAATGATGTCGATAACCCCTTTCTTCCATTATTATAGCCTTATTTTTCAACCCCATTCCATATTTTCCCCATATTTTCATTAACTCCATTGTTCTCTTTGTTATATCCAATGTTCTTTCAATTCTGACATTAGCTCAGGATCAAACCACCATATCTTCAACGTGTGGGCCATCTATTTCAAATTGAGTATTCATATATCCGTGAAGAAAAATATTAGCGCTACTCGATCTCTAAGAGCAAATAATCCGCTTAACTTGTACGAACATTCTTCAATCAAATATGCATAATTAGATGAAGTTTCTTTTAGAATATGGACAATTTTTTGACACACATTAGTCTACTTATGGACTTAATATGCTTTGGATAATAAGTCGTCCAAGGTTTATGTCGTAAACAAGATTTGGTTTTTTCTTCACTAGTATCTAGGAGTTGGTTTTGAAAAGACCAAGGCTTAAGTGGACAACTTGGGTTGGAACTATGACAATCATTGGACGTGTAACATTTCAGTAAATTATCACACATTTCGAAAAGGGTTATGCATAAAAAAAGTAGTCGTAAGATTGTGAAATCATCAAGATATATAAAATTGATGTCATTTGACAGAGATATGTTATGAATGCAATGAAATTTTGTCACGATTCAAAAATGGATGTGATGAAACTCATCTAATCTTACCAAGAAAAGTCAATCTATAAGCCAACAATAAGAAAGGGATGCAGAAATAATCTGATAAGAACAAAAACAAGGAAACTTAGTCATTATAAAATACCCCAAAAAATTGATTGTCACGTGTACAAGTCATTAGTATAATAATACATAGTTCAAAAGATAAATAATTCTTAATATCTTTGTCTCTCGAATAGAACATAACATAAGTAAAGAACAAAAGGGTTCGTCAGAATGACAAACAACTACCTCTCTGGTGTCCATAGAAAGCCTCAAATATAAATAGAAGGAGAACAATCACATAGACCCGGGATCGGAACCTACACAAGTGTAGTAACAAGGAATGAGTACCCAGAAAACACCATACTCAGTAGGTAACCCAATAAATGCAACATAAGAACATATAGATATAGGAACTCCTTTCATCCCAACCGATCCACCAAAACTACAATCTACACATAAATCAACCCAACCTTACTATTTATAATACACAATTCACAAGTTTCCATAATCATAGTCCACCCATTACAATTCATCAATCAAAAATATCATGTTCATGAAACACAAGTATCAAGATCGTCAAGCAAAATAATCAAGTACACTAAACACAAATATCAAGATTATCATTCACACATGTCAATTGGGACTCATGGGCAAGACCCATAATCCATGAGCTTGCTGGTAATGACCTTGGCATGACATTGACCTTGACATTAGTAACACTTGCCAGTAATGACTTTGGCATCAACAACACTCACTGACAATGATACTCTGAGTTAGCACATGTTAAAGACTACGATGATTAGTGAATACCTCGCATGCTCACACTTAAACCCATAAAGGTAATACCACAAGATTTTGAGAGAAAACATTGCCGCTCCCAACCTTCAATTGTCTTGAAGCATAAGATATGATGTTCATTTCCTACATTAACACAACACCCTATTCCGAATGAGAATTATCACAATAAACATGGAATCTTTACCCTCTAGCGGCAAAGTTAGGATATATGTTGTAGTCAAAAGATACTTGAGCTTTCCACCTTTTGGAAATTGTCTTCACACTTATCTGACCACTCGAATGGTACCTCATTTTTAGTCAATTTGGTTAAGTGTGTAGCAGTAAAAGTGAAGTTTTTCACAAGCCTGCGGTAGTAGCTAGCACGACTCACAAAACACCTAACTTATGTCATAGAGCTAGGTCAAACTCAATTCTTTGCTGCCTCAATCTTTTAAGGATCTACCATCACCCCTTCTTTTGAAACCATATGCCCGATAAAATCAACTGAGGGAATCCAATATTTACACTTAAAGAATTTGACATACAATTTTTGGTGTTCCCAAGATACTCAAAACAATACGAAGGTGATCTGCATGCTTCTCATTTTCCTTGGAGTAAATCAAGATATAACATATAAACATAATCACAAAAGAATCCAAGAATGGTTTGAACACCCCATTAATCAAACACATAAATGTTTCAGGCACATTAGTCAACCCAAATAACATCATCTAAAACTCATAATGCCTATACCGCGTCCTAAAAGTTGTCTAAGGTATATCCTCAAGAAAATGTTCAAGTTTAGTCTTGAGTTGTTTTCTCAACGCTGTTGGAGTCACGCGATAGTGAGGGATAGAAATTGGGCTAGTGCTCAACTCCAAATCAATACGAAAGTCTATGTATCTATTCAAATGCATATCAAGAAGATCTATAAGAAACACCTCCAAAAATTCAAAACCCATATGAATAGACTAAATAATAGGGGACTCTCCACCAATATCCCAAAGATGAGCTAAATACGCCAAACAACCATGCCCTACTAGATTGTTAGCCCGGAAGAAAGATATTATCTTTAATAGCTTAGGCCTATACTCCCCTTTTCACTCTAACCTTCCCAATCTGGGATCTTTAGAGTCATTTATTAGCATTAAAATTCACTACAACAAAACTAGGAGAGAACAAAATAAAATCCAAGATCACATGAAACTATAGATTATTCAATATGACTAAACCTACCCGAGTTTGTAGGCTCATAAGAAACACATAAAAATAAGTATACACATGGAAGACTCTCCAACAAAAGTAGCAAATAGATAGGGGCATCAAAGGTATCACAATTCAAATAAAATCCCAGAGAAAAATTAACATACAAATAGGAATAAGTGAAACCCGAATCAAACAACACAATAGTCATCCAATCATAGACAAGAATAGTACCTGTTATCACAACGTCTAAATTCCTAATCCCATGGTCTGCTAGGAAATGCGTAACACTGAGCTCTACCATTTTTTCAAGAAACCCCCATTCCAGAAATGTGTAACAATAAGCACTACCATCTTCTCAGATTAAAAGTGTTGAATAAGGAGTTTTTGGCATTGTTTCAGCATAAAAATTTCATTTTTGCCCCATTTTCGCGATCTGCATAAGCCTTCTATAGCAGACGCCTTCCACTATAGCAAACTATGTGAACTTCAGAGACTTAGAAATCCCTGAAAAATCTCATTTTCACAACATACCTCATTCTTTTGATGCATGAACTATCTCTTTCACGTTGAGTTCGATTTCTAGAATTTTACTTGCTTGAATATGATTTTGTGAAGCACTACGAGTTCCTTAATGTCTTGTCTACAAGAAATAACAAGAAAGCCTAGATATTACACCTCATCCATTCTCGTTTGTCCCTAGACCGTGCCTAGCGCAGTTCCATCTTAGCCTATTAAGGTATCCACTTGGCCTCTAGCTTTCCGCGGGGAAATTGTAACTTTATGTAAGAAGCTCATATACTTGAAGGCCTGGGGCTTTGCCTTTCATTGTATTCATATCCTCTCAGATAAAAACGCTTTCCCCATCAACAACATCAAAGTATTAGCACAATTTTTTAGGCTATTAAAGGCATCTTTGATAACATTTTCCAGAGTCTTTTAGATGAGAGTTGGAAGTAACTTACCCAATTTAGTGAGTTGATTTTCATTGGAATATGTTATTTCTGCCATCTTTTGGAGGCCATTTTCTCTAGAGGTAGAAGAAGGGAGTGAGGGACTAGGAGGCCTCACATCATCAGGCATTTTCAGATATTCAGAACATGCCTTAAATGGAAGGTCTCACTCAAAGCAACAATAGTACCCACAGGGTTATATACGTTTGCACTCTCAAACACACCCAAGCATTGCATTCTCCACTTCTTGATTTTGGGTGAATAAGTATCCCACTTCTTCTCAATATCAATAATTCCAGTAGCAGGGCAAGATTAGTCAATTTTGAAATAGGTCACTCTCACCTTAGCACTCAACTTGATAATCAACACAGGAAAGGGCATAGAGAAGGTAGGTTGATGAGGTTTCTTTTAATTAGCAAACCAACCACTTCCCCAAAATTCACATAAAATACTAGACATGATGCACACAATTAGGATGACAACTATTATGTTGACATTTTGATGATTTTTCAAAGGCATGAAGCCGGAACAAACAAAATTGATCCAGAACTCTGCTTCAAAATAGAGTAATTGTCTAGAGCTCATGTTAGTTGACCAACAAGAATAGTATTATTCTTTTGTGGATCATTATATTACATATGGAGTTGATGACTTGGGTTGATATCAATTTCTTTGCCCCTTAGAATAGAAGATCAAGACAATTAGGGGACTCTTCGACCCTTCCATCGAATTTTGTGTCTTTTAATAAGAGACATAAAACTCTTACACCAGATTGGTTAGTAGCCTCCGGGAACATCAAAGAAGGGGGACTGATCCCTCTCAATCTTAGCGGATAGATATAAAAATAATTAGCATGATTTAGCTAGGCAGATTGAAGAGAGAGGGGTAGGTAGAAGAGTTAAATGACGTGGCTTCTAATACCAAATTAAATCACACATACAAGCACACACCAACTTTTTATGAAAGTTTATTTTATGTTCTTACTTTATATTTACATATTTTAACACATTGTTATAGGTATGAGGATAAAAATAAAAATAAGTGAAGAGAAATTATGATAAGGTAATTCCTTCAAATAGAGGTGATCCAATGCTAAACACTCTAAGAATAAGGAAAAATTGCACACAATGAAACAACCATTACATTTAACTCAAGAAATACTTTAGTACAAATCATGTTTATCCATCCTTATTCCATACCTCACATAACAACGAACGGAGGGAGATTAAATGACACACAATGACTTTGCCATATCAATCATTATACATGCTAACATTTGGCCTTGGTTCAAAAGACTTTTTTCCTTCAAGAGTAGTTTCATTGTCACGGTAGGAAGTTACAGTAGGCCTTGGTTCGAAATCTTTAGTAAATGATGATTTTTCTTGTTTGAGACCAACATCATCATGATGGTAAGCAGTTACAGTCGGTCGTGGTTCAAAAGACTTTTCTCCTTTAAGACTGACTTCATCATCATGGTAAGAAGTTGCAGTTGGCCTTGGTTCGAAATCTTTAGTAAATGATGATTTTTCTTGTTTGAGACCAACATCATCATGATGGTAAGCAGTTACAGTCAGTCGTGGTTCAAAAGACTCTTCTCCTTTAAGACTGACTTCATCATCATGGTAAGAAGTTGCAGTTGGCCTTGGTTCGAAATCTTTAGTAAATGATGATTTTTCTTGTTTGAGACCAACATCATCATGATGGTATGCAGTTACAGTCGGTCGTGGTTCAAAAGACTTTTCTCCTTTAAGACTGGCTTCATCATCATGGTAAGAAGTTGCAGTTGGCCTTGGCTCGAAAGAAACGTCATACCGAGGCATAAGATGCTTGATTGCTATAGGCATGGGCTCATTTTTCATCACAATATTCCAATATTCTCCAGGGTCTCTTCTTGCATCTGTGCTGCTACCATACTGCACAAAAATGACAGATGAATTCTATGTTACATGTTCACTCATTTTTTATTTTTTACTATAATACATACAAGGTCAGTTGGTTATTTGACCAATTTGTTTTTCTATTCTAACTTCGTTTTAATTTATTTGTTTTGCTTTTTTTTTGTATATGTTATTTATTTAAAAACTTCAAAAAATAGTACTATAAATTAGAATAATATTTTAAAAACTCACAATTTTTTTTTTGTGCAACAGGAATTGGAATAGAGGGAATAACACATATTGGTTGAAAAGTATATAAACAAGTGTTATGATTTGCAATAATGAACTACTTGAAATTAAGTTATGTAAAATTTTAGTTTGACTTTCCTAATTTTATGCGTGTGCCACATGAATTAAGACACATCAGATAAAATATATTAAATATGTGCAAGCACAGAGTATTGTATCTAGTATACAATATACATAAACATTTATTATGGATATGCACAGATTCTTTTTAGGTAGAATATTTCTATTTTTGGAAAAATTAGTTTTAAATTTATATTTTTTTATTTTTAGTTTTTTTTAAAAAAAATTAATAAATCATGTAGGGTGTATATGATTTTTATATAAAAGTTTAAGGTATATTTTAATTTTTTTATGCATAAATCGGTTATAACTTCTATCATTATTATTATTTGAGTTTCTTATTCTTATTTTATTTTTTTTCTTTCATTCTTTAGTGTAAAGAGAGAGAAAAATTTATACTAATTTTGTTTGTCTATGTTATAATTTAAAACTTTTTTTTTGACTATATTGTTGCTTTAGTTTTTTGTATTTGAAAAAATTGGGTCATCTAGAATAAATTTTACAAAAAAAAATTAGTGAACATAAATAAATTTAATCATAAAAATACTAAACCTAAAATAGTCATTGGAACCAAAAAAAAGTCAAAAAAAATATGTGTGAGAGGAATTAATATATGTGGGGTTATATCATTTTAAAAATTAATTAAAAAATTAAATTAAATTTTTCACTTTAATAGAAGGAAAAGGATATATGCGGACCATTTGTATAATAGTAGGTGTTTACATGAATCAGTTTCTCAACGAGAGATATATCAACTCTAGATGACAAAATTTAGATATATACCCTTTTCCAATATGTTAAAAAGAGTAGTTCATGTTTTATGCATCGTTGATATACTTTTTTTTTAGATATCAGGTAATTTTGTTTTCATTTGTTCACTTCTGTTATTTTCTTGAGTCGACAAAGTACCGAACAAAATATCTTAACCTTTCAAAGTAAAGATAAGATCTGCCCACATATTATCATCTCTAGACCCAACTAATTGTTGGATTATTGCTTTAGGTTCGTTGCAAAAAACTCACTATTTTTCTATTAAAATTTTTTAGTGAAAAATATTCGGTGGCCATTTTCACTTATATTTCGATTGAATCGGTGAAATAATAATAATAATAATAATAATAATAATAATAATAATAATAATGTTTTCACATGCAAAAATTAAAAAGTTCTCAATTCTTCGGTGTGAATTTGTTTCTCACCATGTGTTTTCCAGCAAATCGATTTGATGAAAAATAGATGAGGAAAATCATATTTATAACTCAAAAAGATACTCATTGATTTGCCATGAAAAAGCATCTATTTCTAATAGTGATAGAATTTCTTCGATAACCAACATTAAATAGAGTTAGGTACAATTATTATTAAATAAGCTAATTGTTTAAATATTTTGTGCATGATATAGAATTTAACTTACCAAGGCAAGTGAAATGAGGAGGATGAGAGCAAAAAGTGATTTCATATCTTCAAGAGAGGTACAATTGATATGCTCTTGCTATTGATATTTGCTTGGTGCATGGATATAAAATCCAAGAGTTTATATAGACAAGTTTGGCAAATACAAAAAAAACTATAATAACAATAATAATACTAGCATGCGTGTTTTATATAACAATAATAATAATTATAACAATTTATAATAATAACAATAATAATAATATTCTCTTATTATAAAAAAAAACAAGTTGGATCATCCTTATGCTATCATCAATCAATTATATAAAAACATAAAATTAGAAGAAGTATAGGATGACCAAGAGGGCCCTCTTAGCTTCTCCATAATTCGTGTTTCATGTGATGGAAATTATTCTACAATAAAAATGTGTAATATTTGGCTATGTATATTTAATTTCAATTATTTAAAGTGTACAATTTTGGTCCCTGAAATTAACAAAAGTTAACTATTTAACAAAATGATTATTTTAAAAAGATATTAAAATAATATTGAGGGGTTGGGGATTCTAAATACTCGAAGAATTCTGTATATACATAATTCTTTAACTAGAATCACCAACCCTTTATTTTATTTTATATATTTTCAAATAATCATTTTGTTTAATAGTTAACTTTTTACAACTTAAGGATCAAAATCGCAAACTTCAAATAATTAAAGGTTAATGTGCATAGTCAAATAACACAAAGATTAAAATAGAATCATGCAATAATACAGATTTAAAAAAAATTATGGAGGGATTAGATTTACTTAAAGGATCTAGGAGAACTAGCAACAGTTAAAGGTTGATAACCAAGTTACTTAGTGCCTATTTTTTTTTTTGATTATTTTTGGGTAGTTGAAAACCTATGCATCTTAATACGCTTTCTAGAAGGTGGCTAAGATGATAAGTGACCTTATGATGTAATGTTCTTTGTTGGTTAATGGTAATTTACAATTTTTACAAAAAAAAAAAAAGTTGTTATTTTTCCTACATAGTTGTAGAAATATAGAGATAGCTAATGTATGCTTCCGGTCAAGCATATTTATTTGATTTTTGTATTTTATCATTTGAATTTATATATATATATATATATATATATATATATATATATATATATATATAATTTTATCTCTAAATATTTGAAAATTATATTTAAAAATACTATTTCCGCTCTTTAAAAAAAAGAATCAATTTCTTTTTTAGTCTGTTTAAAAAATGACACATTTTCTTTTTTTTGCAACAACTTTAACTTCAACTTTTTCCGTGACAAGTTTAAGGCCACAAGATCAAATGACATTCTGATACATTTGACATAACTTAGTTTGGAACCATAATATTAAAAGGTTCTCTTTCTTTTCTTAAACTTCGTTCCAAGTTAAACTAATTCACTTTTTTTTTTAAACTGAGGGAGTATAAACTATGATAATTCACAATTTAAAATATTTAAATTTAAAAGATATTTAATTTTTTTTACGGATTCTCAAAATTTTACCTGTGACACTTAAACCGAAACAAAAGAAATGACATACACTATTAAAAAATGATGTGAAAGAACACTATAAATCAGACAATAATAAATTTTTGATAGTGAAAATAAAATAATTTATTAGGTGAGAAATTAAACTTATAATATCAAATACAAGTTGAAAAGAAGTTTTTATCTTATCTTTTTTTTTTTGCTTTAACCTAAAAGTTGATTGCCTTGAGTATTGACACATTCAGCAAAGTAATGGCAGTAGAATAAAATGCAAAGAAAATTCACGTTAAAAGATATAAAATATAAAGAAACAAAAAATTGAAAAAGAAAAGAACCATAAAAAAAAATGATAGTACAAAAGATAATAGAAGCACATAAAGACAATAATTTGCAGATTCGAATCATGATTAGCAAAAATAAATTAAATAATGATACTATAAAAAATAATTTCACATCATCATTGTAAGTCCAATAACAATCCAACAACAAATTGATGATAATGGAAAATAAAAAATGCCTACTATGCTCCAAATTTCAAGAAAACTTACGGCCAAATTCATCGGTGACAATTTAAAGTTGGTCCTAATTTTTACTTAGACACATTAATTACACTTTGTTCATTTTGAACAACTCATGTCATGTCCCACTGTGTTAATTTGACACTTTCTATTAAGATGACATAACAATTATGATACACTGAACGTGCGTGAGAGCTTCACTTTATCAAATTTTAATATTTTTTTCTTCCTCTTCCCCATTTTTTGGCTACAATTTTCCAAACTTAAACTTTTTGCACGGTGAAAAAATTTGACGATGCCACAACCAAAAAGTGAATTCTAGCACCCATAAATGTTGAACCTTAAATGCTTTCATTCATTTTGTTGTCCTTCTTCCTCCTAAGAATAATTTGAGAAAACTCAACACAAATTTCAAGAAGAAAAAAAACACACTAAAAAATGAAAGAGAATCTTATATTTTTAATTATCAAATCCTACCTTCACAATAAACAATTTTAGCGTTCCAATCTATTTGTATGCCTTCTTACATCATAATCACGAAAAAAGTTCAAATCAAATAGATATGCTATATAATTTTTAGTAGAAAGATTTGGACTCCATATTTATATACTAAAACAACGATTTTTGATTTGCATTGACCAAAAAATCCGGTGAAAAAGGAAAATAAGAAACCCCCTGAAATGATTAAAACAAATAAGTAAAAAGTTATTTTCATATGTACAAAATGAGAGTTAATTAAAATGTTTCATAAATAAGTTGGTTTAAAAATTAATTAAAGAAAAAAAATAGAAAATGAAAATAAAAAAAAAGAGAGAGGAAAGAGCAAACCAAGAACGAGAAATAAGAGACAAAAAAGAAAATCAAAATATAGGTACCACCAATTCAAATAAAAAATAATAAAATAATATTTCATACAACTAGTACTAATTGTACTTCATACGTAGTAAAAAAATTTATTTGGATGAGGAAGGGGCGACGGTGGTGATGGTGGTGGGTGGAGAAGAAAATCTGAGTGAGAGAAAGGGGTTGGGGTTTGAGGTGGGGTTGGGGTAGTATAGAAGACAATTTGGGGCGGAGGTGTGCATATAATTTTCTTTTTATTAAAAGTGGTTTTTTTTTTTAATTATTTAGTTAAAAGAAATTTCACATATCAATGAGTCATTGATAGTTTTTTTTTCCTAAAAAAATACAAATTTTATTTTTTTAATTAAATTAAAAGTAATAATAATTACAATAGAAGATATTTTTGGTAATCAAATACAAAAAACAACTGTGTTACGAAAATATTTTATTGAAAAATGTCCCTTGACATGCCAAAACGGCAAACGTATGTATTCAATTATATCTTATCTTATAATAAGTAATAATATCTTTCTAAATAGTCATCTATTTTTGTCTAAGATTTGATTGTCAGATTTCTCACCAACTGATTGCCTGACTATTAATTTCTTAAAAAATGTTTGCTAATAGTTGGTACTTAATCACTTCACCTCAATATAATAAAGAAAAAATGCACGAGTATCCCCTCAACTTTTGCTCGAAATCTCAGAGACACACTTATAATATATTAGGCTCCTATTACCACACTCCCTTAAACTTATTGTATAAGTAATTTTCTATCCCTTTTCGACATACGTGACACTAACTTGAAAAAAAAAGTCAATCATGGGTCCACAAGAGTGTCACGTAGGTCGAAAAGGGGTAAAAAATTATTAATAAAATAAGTTCAGGAATAATAGAACCTTATTATAGTATAACTGTGTCTCTGAGATTTCGGACATAGGTTGAGTGAGTACTTGTACATTATCCATCATCATTATATTATATTCACTAGATGGCTCTTTTGTAGTAGTGATAATAACATCGTGATATCTCATGAGCTTTAAATCTTTTTAAATCAATCCTTTTAAACAAGACAAGATATATCCTCCGTTTAAAGTTTGGTTCACTCATGCCCTCGCCATCCAACTTTTGGTCCAAATATGCCCTTATGGGCGTTAGTTGTCATGTTGGACATATCCAACTCATTTTTTATCTCTTTAAATGTCACATGGAATTGTCATGTCATTTTGACCTTACCACATAACATTTATATGAAAATGGAAAGATACTAGGCCTCATAAACAACTAATCCGCCCCATAAATCAGCTCCTTTTAAATTCACTATCCGACCCATTTTTAACAATTTTGTTTAATTTTTATTATTGCGGTAAATTTCGAAAATGAGTAATTGATTAATAAAAAATAGAAAAAATATGAAAAATAAATACAAAATTAACGCCAAAAATTCACAAATAAATATAGTAACCTCAAATCAAACATTTCAATTTATTTAAAAAATTTTATTTTTCGATAAATCTCGAAAATGAGTAATTGATTAATAAAAATTATGAAAAGTATGGAAAAAATTATAAATTAACTCCAAAAGTTCACAAATAAATATAGTAACATTTCAATCTACAATTTTTATAAAAATTTTCTATTTTTAGGTAAATCCCGAAAATGAGTTATTTTTTTAATAAAAAAGGAAAAATATGAAACAAAATAAAAAATATACGTCAAAATTCACAAATAAATATAGTAAACTTAAAATTCAATAATTTCAACAATTTTTTTCATATTTTCCTATTTTTTATTTCTGAATTTTTTGCGTTGTTTCATATTTTTTGTTAATAAACTCATTTTTGGGATTTGTTGAAAAAAATAAAATTAAAAAAATGTTGAAATTGTTGAATTTAAGGTTACGGTATTTATTTTTTTAATTGTTGGCGTTAATTTTATATTTTTTTCATACTTTTTATTAATCAATTACTCATTTCAGGATTTATCAAAAAAATAAAAAAAATAAAAAAATGTTTAAATTGAATTTAAGGTTACTATAATTATTTATGAATTTTTGGCGTTAATTTTATACTTTTTTCATATTTTCCTATTTTTTTAGTTAATCAATTACTCATTTCGGAATTTATCGGAAAAAATAAAAATTAAACAAAATTGTTGAAAATTGGTCGGATAATTTATTTAAAAAGGGGGTTGCTTTATGGGCCGGATTAGGTGTTTATGAGTACGAATTTCTTACCGTTTTCATATAAATGTTATGTGGTAAGGACAAAATGACATGACAATTCCATGTGACATTTAAAGAAATGTAAAATGAGTTGGTTATGTCCAACATGGCAACTA